GTCCAAGCTCTGTCCCACGACAACGAACTACCACGTGTTCTTAGGGTGACATTTTAGAAACTCAATGACTTAATATACGGGTGTTTAGCATTATTTGTTGGCATCTAGGCACCCTTGGAGCAATAAAACTTTAAAAAACGAGGCCGATATGGAAGCTGTGTTTAAAGATATTTTAAAAACCAAATTCCATGGAGGTTTTTCGTTAAAGAACCACAGATGATCTTGAGATGGTGTCCTCGAAAACACGGAAGCAGGGACTGGTAATTTCTGGCTTATTTGCAGTCATAAGCCAGTCATATCCAATCCAGAAATGGTCAGTCAGGTCTCTCTAATTTTGTCGGTACCATGTCATTTGCTTTTCCTACCAGTCGCTATGCGACTGCTTGCGAGGTTTCTAGTATGAGCCCCAAGGCACAGCGGAACGGGCATGCTCTGTTACCCGATCCTTGAGCTCCCATCTGTCATAGATGGTCCTTCTCATTAGTGGTAGAGATGATTAGATATTTAGGGGTCATAATTGAACGGTAACAATCGGGAGATGGCACCCAAAAAATACGCCCAACCAAAGCAGCCTGTATTACGGGACAGGTGGTAATAGGGTTTTATGGGTGGGGCCGTCGAATGTGTGGATCAATTTCAATAATAGTAAGATTTTTTTAGGAAATTGCTTTTCGAACGGTGAAGTTTTACTTCATCTTTATATAGCAACAAAATGTGGGCGCGGTGAATGAAAAGTGAACAGATAGAAGTGCTATAGGCGTAAACCATTTTAAGAAACCCGCGGGGCATTTGAGCACCTGTGATCAGACGCAGCGATCGTTTCTCTACATTCCTAAGATATGCATGGCTAGATTTAGCCGCAACCCCATTACTGCTGTCACTCGTCAGTCGTGAAAGCCCTGGTCAAGTCTGATTATCCATGGCTCGGTCTGCAGCGATCGCATCTTAACTGTTGGAGACTATGATAATCTAACTGAGACAGCATATGGACTGTAGGCCGGATGAAACAACAAATATTTAGGGCTATAACATTCGCAAATAGATACAGTAGGTATTAATTCTAGGCAACGGATATTTGGGTGCCATCTCCCGATTGTTACCTACTTAAACATATGTAATATAAAAGGTTACAAGAATAAACGTCTATTTCTGAAATTGGCAAGCATTTTTAAAATGACATAGTACCTCTTAAATTTATTGCCCACTCTGTAACCACATCGATGAATTCCAAGTCCTCCCTATATGCAGCAGATTGCAAAATCGTAATATCGTCTGCCCACACGACCCCGCAGGTGCCGCCACAAGGAGCTGAGTTGTTTTACCGTGCGCATCAGCCAATCTGCTTCAAAGAAAGCTATCGGTTGTTCGCCCCCTCCACCCTACAACAACGAAAGCACTCAGTTTTATCAAATGCTCTTTGCCTTACATCGACTATCTCTTGTCGAGACGAGGGTCAACGGCAATTGAATCCGCAAAATGTCAGTCGGCAGTCGGCTTTGTTTGTGAATGAAGACGAAAGTTCCAGTTCCAAGTGTATGCATGAGCGAAGAAAAAGGGTGTTCGAGCACAGGAACATTCTGTTTACTGTTCTGAGCCTTTGAACTCACGCAGAAATCCATCCTCAGAGATAGTTTCAGCAGCAGAACAAGCGACAGTTATAGGGCCAGTTAACCAATCAAGGCTGGAGTCGACTGCGCATGGCTCTGTACGCCGGCGTCAGATCGCCGTCTACGTAACGAGACCATAATACCTACTCATAAGGGATGAAGGCAATATTTTCTAACTCTTATGGGACCAGTTCTACGACGAAACCGGAGACCGGTGAGAGGGAGAAAGCGGACCCGCGTAATTTAGTCGACATATGTGATCTTGTTTTTTTTATTATCTCTTGAAGATCACCTCCCGCTGATTATCTCCTATTTTTTCATTCCTTTCCGGTCATCATGGACTAGTGTTTTGGGTTCGTTTATGCCATTCGATATCCAAAGCTCTGAATTTCTTTTTTCCTACATCCTGATTATATCTAGTCCTCTCAGAAGAATAATGTGATGACTTAGGGAGGCTTGATGAAGGCCTGATGCATTTATGACTCTCACGTTTGCATTGTTAACGCTTGAGATATCTATTGGTTGTGGAATAATTTACGGAATCCTGCATGCAACTGCGGCAGCCTCAATAATTATTGTTCCTTCCAGTATCTGCAGTGAAACGTGTGGATAGCTGCTTTCTGAGTCGATGGGACCAGTGTTCTGTAGTTACCCACAAACCACCAATCACCCTCAAGGATGAAAGTCGTCAAATTTTGGAGCGAGCCGAGAACGCAATAAGTTATTTAGAACAAATTAGGCGCTTTTTTCGGCCTTTGATGTAATGACTGAATCTTGCGACATACGTATTAAGCTGCATATGCGGGATTGGCAGACGCAGCCACGTCTGTCCTAGCCACAACAGAGTCCTCCTAACACCGTTCTGCACTGTCTGTCACATTAAAGGTTGTCTTTTGAATTATGTTCCCCTGCCTAATACTTCTGGAACTGTTTTACTGTCGCCAATATAGTCCCATAATCAGGGTTTGCACTCTAAAAGGTCATGCGGAAAGTATATTTATATATATGCACGGACCTTTTCTGAAACCGCGCGAGCTAATCATAAATGAGCCGTTGCATGGAATACTGGCATGACAAGGTGACCGGAACGCTAACAACACATCCAAGCGGTCTTTACATGCAATGACGGCTTCTCACACGTCTCGAAGATCGTGCCAAAAGTGTCCAAAATCAAACCACGAATGCATGCCAGTACACCGCAAGGTTCTTGGACATTTTCACTCACCTTTTGTAGAAAACCATTCAAAAATGTGATCTTTTAATTTCTTTAGAAACTTATCCGCTAACCGAAATGAAATCATTTGAATAGTGCTTTACAGGTTCGGTCTAAATGCTAATAAACATGCTTGAGCTATAATTTATCATCTTCAGCGAAATAAGCTGGCACTATGCAGATAGTGCCTACTGTCAGCAAATAGCATGCGCAAACAAAAACCGTAATGCCATCAAGAAATGGTGGCAAATTGATTAAAACGAAAAAAATTTACTTTTAATATGGTGGCGCAGTCGCTATAACACTACGTTAAGAGAAGATCAGTACATTACATGGATTTTATTAATTAACGCATAACTTTCCAGATATTTGCTATACAGTGAGTGACCGATCTCATTAAATGTTGGCTGAAATTCTGAAATGCGTTTTCGATTAGGAAGGATTACTTGGTCGCGGTTGTACAACCGATTATCTTCCGGCATAATCTTATAACATTTCGGATTCGGCTGGATGTCGGCTTTTAAATGCGCTTCTTTTCAATCTCCTGTGGAAAGCGTACTCGGTAAAAAAGGACTACTTAATTAGCATGCATTTTTCCCTTGGATTTTCGATGGTCTTGCAAATTCAAATATATTTTATAGAAATCATAAACAAAAATATGCTTTCTTTTAGTCAATCAATAGAGAATAACGACTTCTTTATATTTTATACTTAAGGAAGGAGTATAATTGGGTTTTTAAAAAGTTTCTAATTATGAGACTTTTTAAGACTGCAAAATGCCCATTCCCATAGCATCGTGCCCGACCGTTTATCACTGCTCCTCATCAAATGTACAACATGGTCCGCATCCATTGCAAAATTGTATGGACTCTGTTTGATATCTCTTTAATGGCATAGAAAAATATGGGATTTTCTTTACGCGGAACGCATGCACCTTGTAGAGTGAAATCACTAAGCGCTAATGCAACGAATGATCAGGCTCCAAATTATTCGGCAATTAGAGAACTTTTTTTAAAACTTAATTATACTTCTTCCTTAAGTATAAAATATAAAGAAGACGTGATTTTCTATTGATTGACTAAAAGAAAGCATATTTTTGTTAATGGTTTGTATAAAATATATTTGAATTTGCAAGACCATCGAAAATCAATGGGAAAAATGCATGCTAATTAAGTAGTCATTTTTCACCGAGATGTCTTTCACAGGAGATTGAAAAGAAGTGCATTCAAAAGCCAACATCTAGCCAATTCCGAAATGTTATAAATGTATGCCGCAAGATAATCAGTGTTACAACCGCGACCAAGTAATCCTTCCTAATCGAAAACGCATTTCAGCCAACATTTCATGAGATCGGTCACACACTGTATATTTTTTTCTACCAATTCAACCTTTCGAACAAAACATCCTAATATGTCGGAATCAAAATTACTCAACCGTTCAAGTACCCGAATCAACGAAATAATTGGTAAGATAACGTTGAGTTAATTGTAGTTGTTCCCTCTGTGCTAGCTCCATCTCTAGTTAGGCCCTGATACTTAATATTGGCCTCTTCATTCATTTATTAGTAGCAGACAATGAGACACCTGATCGCGCAGCTGTTTTTTAAGCCAAATTAGACTTTCTACGGCTGCCTCACGATCGAAGCTAGGTAATTTTGGTGGCTAATAATCTTCAGAATAAACGGGTGGCCACCGCTTTCATGGACCAAGAAATTGTCTTAGACCATTAATCTACTCCCTGGGGTTGTCCCAGACCACAATGACTGCGTCGATCACCATATTTTCTTCGGGATTTGAAGGAGTTAATATCCCCCATTCAGCCACAACTATTCTTGATGCAAAACGAAAAAATTGCTGACCTGATGGGTCGCCGATGCGCTGCTCAAATGAATTTAGCTCAGGTACACGGGAGTCTTAATGGTCATAGTCGTCCACTGCTCAGTTGAGCATATCACCCCTCAGCTAGAATAACACAGACCACTCGATGCGCCATATCTCGCGTAATAAAACTCGGCAGTACAACAACTGACATCGAAGATTTTTACCACACACTTCACAGCAGGTTGGAAGCAAGTGTGGTGACTTGCATGTGAATTAGCTCATTGTGATAATAGACGTTCGCTGCATTTATCACACTCGCTCCTCCTCCTCCTCCTCCTCCTTCTCCTCCTCCTCCTCTTCCTACTCCTCCTCCTCCTCCTCCTCCTCCTTCTTCTTCTTCTCCTCCTCCTCTCCCATCTGAGTCGGATATCATGACATGATGAATATGACTGGAGGAAAGAGAGTATCAAGGTGGTTGGCATGACGAATATCCGCACCTAGGCGTATCATCACGCTCCCTGTTCCGCAAAAAACACTTGATCAGAATTTTAGCACAACAGAAAGAGGATAGAAGCAACGGCACAGATCCCAGTTCTCGCAGCGTGGATCTGCGTGTCAATTCAGCCCGTTATACACCAGGTAGTCGCAACCTACATTTCTCAAATATTTTCATCTATCCTGACAGGTGCGGCACGGATCCCATGTGTGGCGGAGAAGTCACATGGAGAGGAGCCAAAAAACACGTTTCACACTTACATAGATGTCCCGTTGCTGGGCCGAGATGGAGAGCATGAGTGATGAATACGCTTGTAAAAGGAATGCGTGGTAATGCTGTCAAGAATTTCCCGGAGACTCATGTGACCAAACAGAATCATGCGGTGAATGGGTGTGCGAGGATACTGCGAAAAAGAAAGGCGGGTGCCACTGGTACTGGTTGACCAGTATCTGTAAGATGCATTCAAAAGTGACCGATCAGGACGATGCGTGAGGTGCATTTGCGTTCATAATGAAGACTCACCGGGATCGAGTCCTCGAATTTTGTGGCGTCGGTGGTGGTGATTGTCAAAACGTCTAAAAGCATGTGTTATGCCAGTATTAACAAACAATGGCCCTCGCAGCCTGGTATGCGCTGGCAGTTCCCTATGACCCGCTTCCCTGTCGGTAGATGCACTTACGCTCTCGCTGAGTATACGGGTGGTGGGCATGGGTGCCCAGTCATCCTTGTCCTTATGACCCCTGTTAGGGTGTTGTTGTTGGGTAAAAATTCTGGTTAAGTGTATGTTCTAGACCAGGGGCTGTGGTTGCGCGCCTAGGTTCGGGCACGGACGTGCAGTCAACCCGAGTCCACACACGCCTCTGGTCATTTTGACTCCATCATGACATAGGGCCCAGCTGAGGAGTAGGGAAGAGAGGGTGTGGAAGATGCTACACAAGTCTACTATTACCGTACCTGCTGCATCTAGCTGTGTAGCACACGGTAAACATAGTCGTAATCGACGGTTGGACTGTCGTTGGTGATGGTGGGGGTGATGGTATTGGTGCTTACCACCCCCACCGCCATCTTGATCGACGCGGGGTTTGCGGCAGAGAGGATGGTGCCGGTGATTGTGGACGGCGGAGCATCGGAAATGTGGTCCCCGCTGGTTGGGTTGGTTGTCGTCGAGGGCGCCGTGGGGTTATGGCAGGGTTGACGACAGGGGTGTCGATGCTTGTGCCGGTTTAGGTCAGCGGGTTGCTGCTGCGTTGCGCCCAAAGTTGTTCGACAAGGCCGGTGCGGCCTTGGCATCGCGGACATGTTGGAAGAGGTGGGTTGTTATACAAGTCACATCACTAAATACAGACACACTCTGGACAAATTCACGATGTACATACAAACGCAGTTGACTACCCAGTCTCACACTCTCAACTCACGCACTGGTCTTATCGGCGGTGTCTGTTGTCTGAGGCATCAACTCAAGGTTCTGTGCACACAGTCGACATCTTATCATTATGGCTTCTCTTCCACTCCGCCTGATGCTTATGACGCGACAATTACAACCACAGCCGAGACCGCTGGCGACCTTCCCTAGCATTAATCACGTTACTGACTTAAGGCTAGTTCAGTGTCATGCGTGCGCAATATTTTTTGACAAAAGCGCATGCGCTTGCTCGAGCGTCATGCAGGGACATCCAGCAACCCCGCCTCCACATGAGTAAGCGAGATGTCTGTTGCCAACGGTGCCTGAAGAACCAGGACAACTGACAGGGGAGGAATGTTGGTTTGATTGTGCGAAAACAGATTCCCAGAATTCTAAGGGGGGAGGGGGGTGGACGAGTGGAGCGGGGATGGGGAGATTTATGCGTGAAGCTTGGGACACGTGCTGTTTTCGGGGACAAATGTTGGTAAAAGACAGAAAGGAGAGACGGAAGGGTAGGGTGACCTGTAGGGCGTTAAAGCAGGTTGTGAAAAACGAAGGAGACTGAGAAAAACGGAGAGAGGGCAGGTCGACGGCTTATGCATCTTCCTATTGTTGGATGTCCACCGGATCTGGTGATGAAAATCAGAACATATGGGAGTGCACCGTCATGTGAATTCCCGCCCCACACCGGACGCACTAACAGGGCGATGTCAGGGGCTGATTCTCCACCCATAGTTGTCAGCAACTTCATGAGCACACGGTCTGTCATCTGACCTGACATTTGGTTCTCGCGAATATAAGATTGCAGATAAACTCAGCCCACTGTCTGTACACTGGTAGTAAACTGTGTACTGTTTTCAAAGTCATGACATTGTCCACGAGTGCGACAGCACTGATGGCATTTCCTTGAATCAGTCAAATGCTCTTCCCACTAAAGTCAAAATTAAACGGTAAACTCAGCACAACTTTGTAAAGTTACAGTAGGTGAGCTAACGCATGAAACGTCAAGCGAAATTCCAAAATGCGTTTTCGTTTCGAGACGATCAGTTGAGTAGGGTTGTAAAACGTGTCAGCCTGCAACATAATTATATACTATTTCACTTACCTCAGGATGCCGGCTTTTGAATGAACTTCCTTACGGCTACATGCAAAAACAACATCGTGTAAAAAATGACTACTAACGTAGCACTAATTTTTCTCATTGATTTTCGATGCTCCTAAAAGTCCGATTATATTTCATGGGAAAGATGCATAAAAATATTGATTCTTTTGCTCATTCCGTAGAGACTTATGTCTTCTTCCAATCTTATCCTCAAAGGATTGGCATAATTCGGTTTTTAAAACATTCTAATTGAAGGACTTAAATAAATGGCTGTCCAAAAATCTTCATATCTCTGCAATAACCAATGTGGTTTGTAAAGTTATCCATATGGATCAAATCCACTGTTTAATTTGGTGAACGCTACATTGTCCCCATTTACTACCGTACACAAATGTGCGGTTTTCCTTTCGCGAAAAATATACGGCTTGTAGTTTGGAAACCATGAATCCAAGTGTGACGATAGTGAGAGAGAGAGAGAGAGAGGAATGCGCTTTATTTTGAAATCACATGTTCAAAACTTTCAGCAAAAAGTTGGCTCAATTCACCATGGGCAGTAAATAAGTTAATCGATTATTCAAGAGTCAAAGTTTAACGCAAAGAAACGATTATTATGGGGATAGTTCAAGTCTTAGCTTCTGTATTTCTGTCTCTTCGCACGTAAGATAGCGCGCTAGGAATGGCAATACAGAAGCTCGATAAGCCGATGTGCGACAGGATATAAGACGGAAGTTGCGGCGCATCGGGCGGGAAGACTTGGCAGACATAAGATCGGAATGTAGGGGATGGGCAACGTCATCTAGAATTCGACCAGCAAATTGCTTGACCGCATTGAAGTGTCGTTGTAAGATTGTGTCAACTAAAGAAATATAAGAAACGCCAGCAGCAGAAGAGAGCATGCGGAGGATTCTTTTCAAAATTGAAAGATCCTTTTTTAACAAAGCAAGAAAAACGACAGGAGAACAGTATAGGATAAGAGGAAGAATGCAGGCATCAATGAATCGCCAGACTAAGGGTTTAGGCGTGTGGTAGGAACGTAAACGACGAATGTAGTAAAGAAGTTTACGAACTTTAATAAATAGGGACTCAACATGGAGGGAAAAAGAAAGATTTGAGGATAAATTAACGCCGAGATACCTGAAAGAGGATACTTTGTTTGGAAGAATGTCAGAGCAATCAGGGTTAGGAGAGGGCCGCAGTCGAAAAATACACTGAACGGATTTTTGGTTGTTAATTAGGAGACCATTTTCCTCCGACCACGCTAGGACATGGTTTAGGCCATCCTTTAGAGACCGGAGGTGTGTCTGACTTTTGAGAGGGTGTCCAACAACCACATCGTAAGCATACTTGACCAGAAGACAGTCATTAGAGGACCTGAGATCATCAGTGTGGAGGGAGAAATGGTGAGGGGATAGAATTGAACCTTGAAGAACACCGCAGTCATTGGGAAGGGTCGAAGATTTCCGCTTGCCAGATTGGACAAATTGGGTGCGGAAGGTAAAATAATCGCTCAGCCAAGAGACGACCCAGCCTGGAGAGCCACATACGGAGGTTTTGGAAAGGAGATGAGGGACGGTGTTGAAGGCGGAGGAGTAATCAAGAAAAGCGCACGCATACTCGCGGCAATCCTTGTCAAATGCTTTTAGAGCAGAGTGGACCACAAGAGCGGCAGCATCTAAAGTACTCCGTTTAGCTTTGTATGCAAATTGTAAGGGGTCGGAAAAACTGGAAGAAAAAGGCTTTATGATATCTAGGGCAACTCCTTCAGCAAGCTTTAGTATTGCAGAGGAGCAGGCAATTGGGCGAAAAGATTTAGGAGCAAAGTTAGCAGGCTTTTTAGGGATGGGAGTGATTCTCACTGTACGCCAGGCGTCGGGAATCTTGGACTCCATGAAAGACCTATTGATTAGGTGCGTTAAAATAGGGGCTACCTGAGAAGTGCAAGATTTAAGAAGAAAAGGCGAGACACCATCCCGTCCGGCAGCTGTTGATCCACGGACCTTTTTAAGGTGTTTCTCTACTGTTGCCATAGACACGGGTTGGAATGTACTCGGTGATAGGGGAATGTCTTCTAAGGGAAGATGGGAGTCATTGTGACTAAATATAACATTTTTATTTAGGGAGTCTAAATCTGCATCCACATGCACCAGCATGTTGCGATGGCCAGTGAGACGGTTAAGATTTTTCCAAATCTCAGCTGAGGAAGGGGAGAAAGGGGGGGAGTAAGAAGAGGAAAAACGTTTGCTGACAAACAGGCTATTTAGCCTGGTAATCTCTGTTTTTATTAAGACAGTAACGTCCTTTAGGTTATCTCGTAAGCCTAGCTTGTAAAGGAGTTCTTTTTTACGTCTAAACGATTTCAGATAGGGGGAGAAATTCTATCCGGTCGTACCATAACAGTATCAAAAGGGCAACAAATATCGAAAATTTCATTTAAAAACGCTGTCAGGTTGGAAGAACAGGATTCAACATTAGAATGTTCAGTGAAAGTGGGGATAGTAAGAGAAATGCAAGTCTGAAGCATGAGAATGTTTTGGGCGGACGTGTTGCGAACCTTAACCTTTATCTCAGGCTTGGCAAGCAGTGCACGTTTTGAAGTGGAATAGATTTTTGGAAGGCACAATAAAACGTAATGGTCAGAACCTGACGATAGAGCCCTGTTTTTTACGCAAAAAAACTTGCTGTGGTTAGTCAGAATATGTACAAGAGGGGCATCTGCGCGAGTATTAAAGGAGACAAGATCATCGAAGCCTAAAAGTGTAAGGGGACGTAAATTCACGCGATTAAAATCACCGCATAAGAGAGTAAGATAGTCGCAGGATAGTATAGCAAAATTTTTTGAGAGGAAGTCGAAAAAACGGGTTAATGCGCCTTCACAGGAAGAGGAGGGGATGCAAATACTAACGAATATGATGCCTTTAAAATTACTTAACAAACGTGGCTTACAAAAAACAGCAATTACATCTATCAAATCATCAGAGTAAGAAAAAAGAGATTCATAGTCTCTACACCAATTTTGATTAACGAAAATGGCAACGCCTCCACCTCTGCCACAAGATAAAGATTTTCCATCTGTTCGAAAGCAGTAGAATGATGGGGGAGTAATAAGTTGCGAATCAATGTTACTATTTAGTCACGTCTCTTGAAGGCAGACAACTTCAGTTTTGCTGTGTTCTATTTTTGACAAAAGTAGCTCCAATTCATGGGCTTTGTTGAAAATAGAACGACAGTTTGTCGACAAGAAGGCAGGAATTGACAGTTTGTGATTTGGCTGACGTTTGAATGCGAATTGTCAGCCACAACTGTGTTTTCTCCGATGCATAGGCCGTTTTTGGCGAATATTTGATAAATTCAACACAGAACGATCGCAGATACCATAGAGGAGTCTTAAAATCATTCGGAAATCGCAAAAGTTTTTGAAAACCAAATTATGTCCCTCCTTTGAGGATGGGATCAGAGGAAGACGTAATTATCTACCAAATGGCAAAAGAATGAATATTTTTATGCATGTTTTTCATGAAATATAAATGAACTTTTAGGGGCATCGAAAATCAATGAGAAAAATAAATGCTACGTCAGTAGTCATTTTTCGCAGAATCTTGTTTTTGCATGCAGCCGGATGGAAGTTCCTTCGAAAGCCAGCATCCTGAGCTAACTGAACTATTATAGAATTACGCTGCAGGCTGACTAGTTTCATAACCCTATTTAATTAATCTTTTCGAAATGAAAACGCATTTCGGAATTCCGTCTGACATTTCATGAGTTAGCCCACCTACTGTAAACACACTGAATAAAATT